ATTTTCACATATCCAGCTGATTCCGACCTACCGAAGGTGAATTTTTCTACGATCAGCTGGCAATCGTAATTAATTTGCGATTGTGCAGGGCCGGCATCAAAACTGTTATAATTTTATAATTTTTTATTTTGTTTCAAAAGTCAAAAGTTTTATAACATTTTATGTTTCAAATATCCGTAGGAATCTGTGGTATAAATATTAATTATTATAACTGGGACACCCTATATTTAAAGAAAGCACCGTATAAATAAATAGGTCATTATTTTAGAATAAATGGACGAAAACTCCCTGTAAACTACATTAAGTACCTCAAAGTGAAAATAGAAAAGGAAAAAGCCAAAGAAAAAGAACATAAGAAAATTTACGGCGTGAGGCATTTGTTCCAAACACCGAATTTACGAATTAAAACATTAATTGTAACGTTTATCTGGTTCACGAACACAAGCGTTTACGTGGGACTGTCGTATTACGCTCCCGTTTTAGGTGGCGATGAGTTCCTTAACTTCTTTTTGGCAGGTGCAGTCGAATTGCCCACGTATCTTTTCCTGTGGCCCTCAATGGAAACGTGGGGCAGAAGATGGACGCTGTGTGTTAGCATGATCGTAGGTGGTTCGGCTTGCCTCGCCACATTTTTAGTACGACACGGTATGAAAATATTTTATATATTATATATACCTACAGGGTGTATCACAAATATTGTCCAAAAAATATCTTATAAATCTACACTTAATTAGACAAACTCCACTTCACTCCACTTGATGAAAGGCTTATAGGCTAGACACTATAACAATAATTAGGAATACAAATAAAATAATTCGAAGTGGTCTGTATTCTGTCGAAACTGCCAGACGCGGATCGCGATTTCGATCTTTTTGGATCCCATCAGCGCGTCGCAGACATCAAATATAGCATCGTACTAGAGATGGCGTTTACCTCGCCGTTTGTGGTATTTTCTAAAACGCGCTGTTAAGACAGCATGTAAAAGTAGGTCTGTGTTCTGTCGGGCTGTCTGCGACGCGCTGATCAAATCCAAAAAGAACGAAATCGCGATCCGCGTCTGGCAGTTTCGACAGAATACAGACCACTTGGATTTATTTTATTCGATTATGGTAACGTGCCTATCACGTTGAGGTTAGCTACGCCGGGATTCGTTTCAGCAAGCTGATATAGTTACCTCAAATTAATGTGCAAAATCTGTTTAAAATCTACATTGGGGTATTACACCCTATTATATTCCAAGATCATAAGTCAATGTAATGATTTTTTTCCAACTTAGAGCTTAGGATGGAAGGTTAATATTCCATTATTCCTACATTGTAAAAGGTTTTTCACCTTACCACCGAGGTAAAGTTTAATGTCAGTGTTTAGTTATCCATATCTGTTTTATACAATGACTTCTCCCTTAAGCTTTAAATTGAAAAGAGAAAAATAGAAAATCCATTATTTTACTTTTTGACCTTGGAATTACCTTAAATGACCTTTAATACTTTAGTAGGGTATGGCCAAACGTACAATTCTAACCGCCCTTATAATCCGGAGTTAACAATAAGGGTTTTTATTCAAAGAGGCTGACTTAACCTTGAAATAACTTTGAAATTCGACCACAAAGGTAAATTCAAGGTCATCCTACAATTTCCTCGGGAAAATTATGCAACTTTTGTCGAAACACTTTTTTTACTTAAGCCTTTCCACCGGAATTATCATGTATGTCGTCATTACTGAGGATTTTAGATATGTTAAGAATATTTTACCCTTATTGTTTTGAAAATAATAAAATTTTTAATTCAAAAAAAAAAATGCAAATTTTGAAAACAATTATACAGGGTGTCCCAGTTATAATAATTAAAAAAGAAACCATGGCTTCCTGACACAAAATACAACAAAAAAGTGTTATACAATTTTTCAATTCAGTGACCATTGAGCTCGCAAATCGTCTTTGTAAATTTGAACGTACAATTTGTTTCATTACGGGCCTGGATCTAGGCGACTAACGTCGCTCAGCTGATCTAGT